ATTCTAAGTTAATACGTGACATTATAATAACATTAATTTAGAATTTACTTCCTACCCTCAAGAAACTAAATTTTTTATCAGAAGAACAGTCTCCCATTCAACTGAGATTTTCGGTAAAATAATACACTATACCGATTTTCAACAAGTATAAATTTTTTATGTAGAATTGTCCACGAAATATAAAACTGAATCCCAAATGATTATTGAAAGTCATTGGCGTAGAAGTTGGGATAAAAAAATCCAGCTTTACTACCCCTTTATACGCCACTGAGCTACAAAAATTTATAAATTTTACAATAAGATATGCACATGGGTAAATGTTAACACCACACCAAATTTGAATCAATATGTTATAAGCATACCAAAGATTTCATAAATAATATGGCCGATCAATGGTGAGACTTAGACCTTTGCTTTATAAGGCAATTCTGAATTATTTATTGAGTTGTATTTGTGGTTAAAGTTTGATTCACCCGAATTGAAACACCCTGTATTAAGAAGTACCAAGACCGTTTTGCTTTGGAATCAGAAGCAGTTGACATAGAATCTGAAGATCTCTCTTTAAGGAAATTTGCAAAATAATGTTTTTTCTTCGATTTTTAATTTCCTTTTCTATTGACATATTAGTTGAAAACACATAAATGTTATTTTGTCTTAGTGACGGAGTACCTACTAATATTTTGTTTCCTTTCGTTGTTTACTAATAATTAATAATAAGATTTTGGTACTTTTTGTTGTATTAAATTAAAAAATACACTTATCTATAATTTGTGCTTGAGCTTTACTTATTTGGTATTAGAGAGCACCCCGATCCTAAATATTTCCAGTTTATTAAAATTTGTTATTTTTATAAAAATATATTGGTAAGTATTTTCCAATTTTTGAAAATTTCTCTAATCTTTCCGATGTACTTTTTTAGTTGGAAAGTGAACCCAGTTCTTTTCTAATCATTTAATTTTTCTTCTGAATCTATATCTATAATCCATTGCATATGAAATACCCTATACATAAATATATTCCTATAAATTATTATTTGTCGTTAAAATCCAATGAAAATATTGTACTTTAAATACGGCGAAAACGGCGGTGTTAAAAAATATTTATCCACGGCTTAGACCGCTTCCCCGAGCAAAATTCCTAGAAGCGCCGATTCATGTAACATAAATAATTACAAGGTCTAGCAGATTACTCTGGCTCAGGAAAAAAAAATAGATGAGTGGTAATCCTGTACTAATTCACAATAAATTGCTGGCTTTTTGCATCCGAAGCGTTACTTGTATAATCTCGCCATTAGCCAGTCAACAATGCAAGACAAATATTAGCTAATCTCTTTGTTTTTCTAACAAAGTATAGGTGGTTTCTGCTGCCCCGTAATTTATGGGTGTGAAAAAAACTGGGGACAATTACCGTGAACTGAAATATTAAATTAGATAATAACAGATAATGCGATTAGATAATATTCACGTTACTCATGTTCTAAAAAATGGTTCTTGAGTGCGGGTAGGGTTAGAAAAAAATTAGATAATAGTTCAGTCAATTTAAAAAGGTGATTTGCACAGGAAGCTGCTAGATTATTCCAGGGTTTAATTATATACAGGGTGATTCAGAACTTATCCAAAAAAAAAAATTCTGGATGTACAAGGGACTCTTACAAATACCTACAATTTTGAAAAGAAAAAATCAAAAAGGGCAGTTCAAAAATGATTTAAAAATACTCCTCTGCACGGTACTGGAAACTGGTCCACTGTAAAACCTGACCTCGCACTATGCGACTGGCATGACGGTGTGATAAAAAATGGACAAAAACTTTAGCAAGGAAAGAAATAAATAGAATTTTATAGTCCCTATTTTATATCGGCAAATTCAACTGCTTTTGCCTTTATTAATTAGTAAAATTAATTTGTGTTTTTAAATAATAAAATCATTTGACATACCCGATGTTACAACAATTGTTCAAAATTTTATCCACCAACGTGTACACATTTAGATCCGTCTTACTAAGTTTATACGAACTAAGACAATACAAATGTTGTCTTGCTTCACCATAAATTAAAACGATATTCATCAACTCCGAATTGCTATACACGCAAACCATTTTTGATACTAACTACGAAAAAACTATTGTAAACACCACAGATAACAGGTAAACACTATTACAACGACGACTGCAAAATGGATTTCAGTATTCGGAGTCGCTGAGGCCACGTGGCTCTCCATACGTATGCGAATGACGCTAGAGACTATAGTTATGTTAGAGACCAGCTATGTAGTGGTTGAATGTACTATAACTTCAATAATTTTTTTTCTCGGAAACTATAAGGATTTTACAAAATTTTTTTTACGACATTGACTCCATTTCTCATGCCGCATCTATTCCCAAATTTTTTTGGATAAGTTGTGAATCACCCTGTATATAGCTATAAAAATTATCAGAGAATCAAATAGATGTACACTTTTTCGTTTTTGGCTGTTCTTGAATAAAAAATTATAACTAAAAACTAATAAGTTGTGTAATTCTAAATCATAGTAGTTAGTTAATTAATTCAATGCTAGTTCTTACAGGTGTCAGTTGAGACTTGTACAGCCTTTTACAAACTTTCTAGTTTCTAACAAATAATTCCAATAATTTTTCAATAATTTTTTTGTGAAACGAATAGTTTTGCAATCAATTTAGATTTACTCAACTGCATAGATGGCATATTTTAAATTTAACAAATTTTAAAACATAGAAATGGCTCGTCTTACGAACAAATCGAAATATATCTTTTTTCTTAGACACACCAGCGGAACGAAATGCATGCATGTAATTTGCAAAATATACAGTGACGTCGAAATTCTGGGATTCCTAACAACAGTATCTTCCAGCACTTCCGTCACTGATTCACGGATTTGTGCAACAACTCAGTGAATTTTTGCCCATAATTAGTTAAATCGTCACCGCAAATTCTATCAACATAGTCAAATATTTTAAGTGATATTCAAAAAAAGTTTTTTTTTTCCAACATTATATTTCCAAAACGAAGACGATCTATGTTTATAGCTACGTTTTTCCTATTTTGAGGTCTTATATCAGATAAAGGTGTGTGCAATTCAGGAGACCCTGTATAAATAATCACAGTGTTGAATAAACCGAAAATCATTTTGCTGTCAGCATCGATCTATTAAAAAAACAATTCATTATTTCGAAAAAAAAAACGTATTAATATTAACGTCAAAACACTTTAATAGAATTTAAAACAACACTAAAACTACTTATTTTCAAAAGAAGTTTTATTACAGGTGTGATTTTAAATAAAATGTTTTTTTGTAAATTTTAAAAAATCGTTGATGTAAAAATTTTGCTCGTTACTAAAAGTAATAAAAGGCAAAGCCCCGAAGAAACGTAAAATTTCTATGTCCATGACATTTTCTAAAATTGCGATTTTCGATTTTATAAAAACCTGTAGCGTAGAAATTTCACATTTTTTTTAGAACTATGCCTTCACTACCTCCAATAAAACGCAAAATTTTTACGATATTTTTTCCCCATATTTTTGTTAAAAAACTCGATTTAATTCAACTAGAGGCTGTGGAAGGGGCCCAGTTGAATGTTATTAAGGGGCCCAAATTTTGAAATTCCGCCACTGGAGCACTTTCTTACGATTATAGTAATACAATATCTGAAGGATTTAAGTTTTATAGTAAGAGAGATAGTCATATGTTATGGAACTACAACGTTGATGGGTTTTTATTGCATGAATCGTTCAAATGGTTATTTAGAATGAAAAACCTGCAGAGTGCTATTAAATTAGAGGGTGGAAATTGGTGATAGGTGTGAAAATGCACCCCTTTCAGTTTTTTAATTGTAGCTCGAAAACGAAGCAAAATTTCGCTACAGTTCATAGGAAAAATTATTTAGAGAATTGAATTTCACATGAAAATAGCTTATTTAAAAAATTTAAACGAAAAATTTTATGCAAAATCGTTAATAAACAATTTGAAAAAAGCAAAAAGTTCGATTTTCTGATTTTTTTTTTACTTTTTTGCCTCTAATTTTTTTTGAGTAAAAATAGGTATAGGCATTGCTTCATAGTAAAAAAAGTAGATAAAATTTCCTTCAAAACAAGAAGTTGTAGAGTATTTTTGGATGAAAATTGACTGATATATGGCCGCTCAAGCTTAGTCAATTTTTCGATTTTTGGCGCGTTTACCCTTATACGTTTTAATTATCATTTTTTGCAAAAAAGGAAGGAAATAAGACGTTCAAGGATTTTCATCACATGACTTGTTCGAAGGCTCATTCAAAATGGAAAAACCGCGGGGTGCCATTAAATTAGAGGGTTGAAGTTGAAGACATGTGTGAAAAAGCACTTTTACAGTTTTTTAAATATAGCACGAAAGCGAAGCAAAATTTCGGATAGTTCATAGGAAAAATTTTGTAGAGAATTGAATTTCTCATCTATATCCTTAGTACCCTGCTTTTTAAGACATAATCAATAGCCTATAGGGCTAGAATAACCAAATGACCATATCTATTATCATTAGAGATACATCCATCAAATATATATCAATCGTAAGAAAGTGCCGTATCTTGCTTTGTAACCTTTTTTAACCTCAATTTTTTTAGAGCACGGTTAAAATTAAAAAAAAAATCAGATTACATTTGACCATGCAAATCAAAAGAATTAAGTGTTGTTTATCCGCAGTGGTAACTCATCAGAGCAAAACAAAAGAGTAGGAAAGGCTTAATTTGAAATTCTCAAAACTAGATTTTTTTCTAGGTTTTACAATTTTCTCGAACACATCTTTGATCAACTTTAATAACCAACCTTACATAAGCATACACACAGATGAGTACGAGGAAAATTTCTGGAATTGCCGCTATTTGCAAAATTGCCCCCGTCCCCCGTTGTGGTCGTCAGAACACAGGTAAGCGACCTTCACGTGGTGTGATGGCAATTTGTACTATGAATTGTTATATAAGTGGAGACTACACTCCTAATCTCCAGTGCTTAGTTCTCTGCAGCATCATGAATAACCTAGTTGCCTTCTGTGCTTTGCTGGTCGCGGCTGTCAGCGCCTACAATTTTGAGGACCCCGATTTCAGTAAGTTAATTTTCATAACATACCCCAGGCGAAAGTTACTCCTTGTTGGACATGTTAATGTGGAAGTTCAAGTTAAAGATGGATTAGTCGTCGGGAAACTCCCAACAAAAACTTGTTCAACTACTCTTGGGGGTTTGCGCCGGTTAGATAATTTGGTGTGTGGGCATCCACAGGTTTATTTGTTTCAGTTTGTGAACTGGGATGACTCAAGAAATGAAAAAATTAATTAATAATAAAATTTTTATTTTTGCATAAAAAAAGTTTAATATTTTTTCACAAAATTTTATACGATTGCATCCTGTGTCCTAAATTCGGTATATCATTGGTATTTCGGTTATTATAAGATATATTTTTTGCTTTTATCTTTAAAAAAATTAAAATTTAGTCATATCAGTTCTTTTTTATCAAGACGAAAAAATACATGTTGACTAGTTTTATATGTTTATGTTATTACTTTTAAAAAGAACTAATTCTTCTACTGGTGCTTTCTGTAAAAAACATTGTTTCAGACAATTTCAAAGAAATGCCGGCCAACAATATCTTCTTGAAGTAAATACAAATATTTTAATAATAAATACCAGAAGAATTTTCTAATAATATTATGCTGCGTTTATATTATCCATTAATAGTTTGCATCAGAATAAAGAAAGTTAGAATTGTTTAGCGGAATATGGCAAACTATTAGAGATACATGATGGTTCAAATTACAAGAAACTTGCACAATATTTTGCTGAATCTCTTCTAGTCCACGGGTCACGTACAAAGAAAAAAATGATTCCCAGCAAGCTGTAACTTTGCGTGCAGCTTAAGTTTGACGAGTCTCCCAAGATTTGACTATGAGGAAAATTCAACAGTGGTAAGTTTTCCCGTGATTTTCAGGAAAACATGTCAATCTGGCATAAACATGGAATGTTATGACCAGCACTTTTTTTTAAGTTTAAATGAAA